GGACTTACGTGGTTACAAAAAACACGGACGGCTTGTGGTGAGAACTTAGAATATAATGTAACACTTAATTTAAATGTAAACAGTATTACGAAACTACGTAATTCACTGTAAACTAACAAACTGACTTAGAAACCTAAACCGGCAGGATACTAATTCGACGGTAAGATTGTGTAGCCTCTATTAAGATTAACAGCTGGTAGAAATTTAAAAACGTGCGCTAACCTTACTTCGTTTATATCCTGGGGAGAAAACGCGAAGGGAAATCAGAGATTTCAGGAAAGGCTCACGAGATAAAATAATAATTAATAAAACTAAACAGAACCATCACAAAATTTTCAATATAATATTACATAATATGTTCATGATTATTGACTTAAAATATCCCGGTTTCTAAATCATTCCTTCTGTTTCTTATTTCAGAATTATTACGTTTTAGCTATCTATGCTTTCCTTTTTGTTCTTCTCATTTTAGAAGAGCTTGATGAGCGCCTTTCGAAAAATCAGTAATTGTAATCATATCTAGTTCGGTGTTATCCTAAGCTGTAAAATGCTCAGGACTTACTTTAAATGCCTCATTTAACTGAAAACGGCATGAAAACCTATCGTTAAATAGATATACTGCGATGTTTACTGAAACATCAATGTACGAGGCTTGAACTAGTCATAAATGTGTCTTGGCTTTACTACAGAATACCACATAGTCATTTATTGATAAGTAACCCTTCTTTCGTACTGGCCATCAATATATAATCCCCATTATTTTATAAAAGTTCTCTTTTTATCTTTATTTTAACACAATTTTCTAACTTCAGCATACTTCATCATGCAGTTATTATTCATTTTTAAAACACCTGGACAATATTCTTCTCAATCTCTTTGTATGATATATTTTACTTTGGAAACATTAAGTTCAAAGTTTCATAAAGGTCTTGTATAGCTCATAAGCCTTTCTTAATTAGTCGTTATATCGATATATAAAGCTATACAAATACAACCTACAGTTAATATACCTGTAACATTTCTAAAGAAACAAAAGTTCCGACAAAAACTACAGAATTTACTGCTGTATATAAAGTAAGACCATAAAGAGAAGTTTGAAATTTCATCAATATATACACAGATCGTATCGTACAACACCAAAGTAGGAACGAAATGTTTAAAAGAGCTGAAATGGCTCTAACTCGACCGCTCTTAAATGAAGTAATATCAGTTTCCTCGGTAGAGATGAAATGTGCAGATAATTTAACAGCACAAACATGTTTCAGTTCCATTCGTTTCAACTAGATCATGATTAGGTTAATTATCATGATTTTTTACGGTGATTAGACGTATTAGGTTTCATAATACAGTAAAATACTAAACTATAACTAAAATATGGTATAAAATAACTTGAGTTAATTAGAAAGGTGAGAAAATTGTAATTATATCTAAATAAAGAAATGAAAACATACAGGAAAATTGTGATCATATATAAATAAAGCAATAAACTCGATTTGTTTTTCCAAGAAGGAAATACGCAGTTAAATAAATCGAAATACATTTCCAAATTCTTTAAGCATATTCTAAAATAATTAAAATAACTGATTTCATAATGAATTGAAATTGAAAAAGTATTCTATTAATTCGGCTTCTAAATATTCTGTGTAACATAAAATTTCTTTTTGCCTTTCTGAAAAATTGCTAAATCTGCATTTCTAGTCAATACACCCAGAAATTAAAAAACAGTTTCTTATACCTATGAATCCATTGTATCAAGAGCTTAGTTATCTTAAACACTTATTTTAAACTAGTAATAATGCAACAAGTGCAGGTTGAAGCTAGGCCAGCACCGCTGTAAGTACTATATATGTAGCGTACATAGCTAACTGGTAAGCCTTCCACTCTAGTTTGAAATTCCAAAACATAACACTCCAGAGAGAGCAGTACGGGAACACCCAGGGAGGGTACGAGGGAAGGAAGCTTGCTACTAGCAACCACTTAAGAGGATTTCGCCTAGTCGTGTATTTTCAATAACTCCTTGCTATACAGACTCTATACGCTTACAAGCATCCATGCTTTCTCTGGAATTCAGGCCCAGGCTCTTCGGTACGGCAGTCAGTCTCACTAGCCACAACTCAGTATCAGCGGCGTAATCGTAGAAGAGTAAGATATACAGCAGGTAATGTTGCATGAAATTCTAAATATATTGAAGTTAGTTTGCATATTGAAGAGCTAATACTCATTCACAGTAGTAATTCAGCCAGTCTCATGTTAAGTAATTAAAGTTATAAATTTGTTTATGTGTATAATAATAACTATTGAATGTCGAATTCGTTTCTGTATGCCTATCACTAAATGTTGCTTATTCTTGTGGTTAAATATGCTGAGTAATAAAGTTCTCCTTCAGTTCCTTTCTACGACTTTATCGCATGAAAATCGCCTTAGAGATGTGATATGAGTTTGCTTTGAGTATCAATCTTTGTTAAATTTATATATTTGTGTACGCAGTAATATAACTGCTTCAAAATTTCTGAGCTGCAAAACTGCATTAAAGAGTTACAGTTTTTTTTATTATTACTTTTTTATTTATTTATTTTTAATATATATTTCCAGTGGCAGATTATGAACAGTTACAGCCAAAAAAAAAAAAAGAACAAAGAACATAGAATACAGCAATACAATGAGAAAAAAAACAGCTGTAACAGAATCCATCATATCTAACATATCTCGTGCCTCCCAGTAACGCTCGGCGAGAAAAGTCTTGCGCAGAGCAGGACATTGGGGTAGATGTGCGGCATCCATCACCTCTCCAGAGCTGCACACAATTGCATATCAGAGAAGCAACAATTTTGAATCTATGTAGATGATATTGTAGGCAGTCATGTCCGATGGCAAGGCGGAATTCAGCGACCGCTCTACGCCTTGGACCATTACACAAATTCGGGATAGCACTCTTCCAAGAGAAACACGATGATAGAGATCTTCCTGAGCACGTACTTTGATAGATCTTTTAATAAGGTCCCTAACAGTATGGAAAGGCAAAGGACGAGAAATATTCTGCATGATTAAAACACCCTTTTTTGCCATGAAGTCGGCTTTCTCGTTACCTGGAATCCCACAGTGGGCAGGAACCCACTGGAGAACAACAGTTTTCTCAAGTGAAGCCAGGTTTTGTAGATAATGTCGACAATCCAATATGTCCTGTGATATGGGATTTTTATCTGAAATGATAGCCAGCAGAGCAGCTCGGGAATCACTGAGTATAACAGCTCTTGAGAATTTTTTCAGGTGGCATGGTAGCTGGTACAGAGCTGTGCGAATCGCATCAATTTCACCGTCAATAGTTACAATTAGTTTGCTTATGGGATACTCTGATCCATGAATGTATTGTGTTTCACTTTCCTGGTCCTGGTTATACTATCAAAAATGTAATGATAGTTTTAGTTATTTTCATTATTAGTTAGCTCCACATTCCAGTACTGACTAAAGGGAAATTTTAAATGCAATTTCTTTCATCTGTTAAGACTCTTACTGTTATACATTAACGTAGTGTAATTTTAAGGTGATTAATTAAATCTGATTTTATTTTACTATATTACTATAATGAACAATTAATTTTCTCGTTTAATTTCGTAAGCCTTGGAAGGGAAATTTAGCCATTTTAATAGTCAATAAAAAGCAAATTCTTCTAAGAAATAAACATTTATCAAATTAACGAAGTAATGAAGAAGTATTCCCGTTGATTTTCTGGCGTCCTGATAGGTGGAAACAGAGAAATTAATGATATCCTTCTAATATCATTATGTATTAGACTTAATTAGGAAAAGAACATTAGATTTAGAAAAGCGCTTAATGAGGGTAATAATTTGTTCATCTTTTTATTGTTCCATCCACGCTAACTATTTTAATTTTGCATTAGCACGGGAAAGATGAAGTTAAATGTACCAAAGACAAGTACTTGTTTTAAAAATAATCCTCTTAATTTTATTTATTTTAATCAGTAGTATTTTCATACCTTTCAACCAAATCAACTTGAACATAATACTTATTTTGTTAGTTTGGTTTCTATTTATAACACAATATTAGCTCTTTTATCATTCAAATAATAAAATGATTACAAGCTTTTGTTTTCCTTTTTTTTGCCTTGTCCAAAACAAAAGTAGTTTCATCAGATAATGTTAGTATCTTCTTTTATTCTCCCTTTTATAGTAGTTTATCTGATCGAAATATTGTAGACGATCAAAATGCTTTAATCGCTTGATGTAAGAGTGCTGTAAAATGTCAGGTACAGGCACAAAATATTATTTATATGTAAACACCGATGCATTTACTGCATAGCTGCTTTGCTTAAGAATATGTGGAGCTTTACGAGAGCAAATATAGTTTGACTGTTGCATTAAATACACGATATTTTTATGTGTAAGAAAAAGTAGAGTTTTTCTCACTACACTGACGTAGGAGTAAAATACAACGGGATGTTTCCATCATTGTTGCGATAATTTAAAGCATAATAAAAGTATAATTTAATTGACTAATTTTTTATTGTCTTTTCTAAGTATTTCATGGAAGAACGATTGCTAGAGCCTCAAGGAGGTCAAACTCCTTCTTCCACCCTAATTTTAAGAGAGAGCAACCCCGGGGGTGGTCCGAATGACTCCCATCAATCTCCCCTACCACCAAACCACAAGAGAAGACTTTCGGCTCGCCATATATTTAGAGTACCTGCATAGCGCAAAGACACTATACATTTACAAACACCTTTGCGTCCTCCGGGATTCGAGCCCGGGCCTTTCGGTACCGCAGTAGGTGCTCATAACCACTATACTGTCTGGGCGGCAATTAAGTTATTGATATAATAAAATAAAAATAGTATTTCTGTTTACTTAACTTTTATTCATTTAATCTTTTGAGTAATTTTACGGACCGTATTTAATTAATGTTATAAATAATTATTTATTTATATATATATATATATCATAAGCATTAATTTCTTTAATTCTTTGTTTGTTTTTCTTCACTAGGTCTGAAGTTCTCACTCTGCAATCTCTCAACAAACGGCACGTTTTAGCAACTTCATCTGATCAGACTTTTTGTAACAGATTTTAGTTCTTCAGTTACAAGAATCGTTTCACATTCCAGGTAATTACAAAATTATGAGTAACAAAAAGCAAATAAATAAATAAAATAAAATTTATTCAACTACGTTCGAATTTTATGACACCAATTGCTTTTTTTTACCTTTGTGGGAACATTGATTCTTATACAATTTGAAAAACTCCTCTTCTTAAATTTCAAATTCAATATTTTCTGTATACGCAATCGCTGAGCAGTAGATGGATTTTTTACACTTTTATAATTAATTAATATTCATTCTACCACGTTTTAATGCAGGCGATTAGATAGTTATAACACATTTTAAAATAATGTCACTGATGGCAAATAAGGTAGGGGAGAGTAGCCTAATTTGGACCAATTTTGTATTTTTCACTATATAGAAAGACGGAAGAAGTGCCAATAAAAATTAAATAGTAGAAAATAAACTCACTAAGTGTACCTTCAAAATAAAACCATTTATTAAATTTAAAAAATTATTTATAGCGGTGAAAAATGAATTTAAAAAAATCATGTCATCGGTTCACTTTAGGAAACCGGTTTCCTTATTTGAACCGCTAGTTTCCTAAATTGGACCATAAGCTTTCTTAACGGCAATTACAACAAAAGAACCTTTTAATTGAAGCACTAACTCCAGCACACCGAGTATGTATCCAAGCGTGACATTTCATGCATTGTATCATTTCTTCTTCCTTGATTTCTTCGCATAATATACAAAACCATGAATCACCAGTTCCTTTTTTATGTTTCTGCATTTTGTTAAACTTTGGTCAACTCATTTTTTTAAGTTTTGGTATAACCGCAATTTGTAAGGGCTGCTTGTTATTTTCACCGCTTTCTGGGCTATTGGTGCACCGCGAGAAGACGAAGGGCCAGGTGGATCTGGATTTTTCTTTGCTCGCGATGATATTTTTTCAAGAACTGCCCTAAATCGTTTTTTTCGTTATCACTTCTATCTTCATCATCATCACTACTAGAAGGTGAAACAGGTGTTCTGCAATATTTCTGCAATTAGCTTTTAAAATAAGTTTTAAGCACGCTTACGCATACTTCGTCTTGGAGACGAATGGTTGCCATTCCCGTAAGTTTTCGAAGAGTAGCATTGTAGGGTTAATTATAATTTATCCATGAAAAAATGTCGTTGCCGAAATTCGGCAGCTGTTTTCCGTCTAACTTGGGAAACTTGAATATTTAATGCTTGATACTCTACAGAAACGTCAAACTAACATAACCTCGCTAAATTATAATTGCAAATTGTAGATAAATAAGCAAGTTTTGTGCTGGTATAATAAAACATGTAATTACTTACGTTTAGACGAATTAACTGCTTTCACACTTATGTCGAAATAACAGATTTTCTTCTTAGCCAAACGAATAACACTTCTCTCAATGTAACCACGAGGCGTTTCTTTACAAACACAATTGCATTAACCTCTTCTACATCTACGTATAACAAAATGCCAATCTCAAATCTCGCAGATATCATTAGTCTTTGTATATCATAGCGGTCCAAATTAGGCTAACTTCCCCTACTATTCATACCACTTTTTTAATAATTTTTGTAAATGAGATATTTAATACAGTACAACTCCAACTATCCGAACTCCGACTATCCGAATCACTTTCAGAATTTTTCAGAATCAACTGAAGAAGAAAATGAAAAGGAGAAAAAGGAAAAAGAAGCTCAGGAAAAGGAAATGAAAGAGACAGGAGAAGATGAGGATGGCGTGTCACTTGAGGAATTAAAAAACATTCTTTTGCAAGTTCCTCTATGTTCAGAAGTTAATACTGAGTATACAGCAGAATGAATGGTGTGTGATTCGTCATATCCTGAGTTTCAAATTCTAAATGATGATGAACTTATTGAAAGTGTGAGAGAAGTAAGTGTCGAGGAAGAAGATAACCTTAATGCCGAAGTTGAAGCAGGTAACGGGAACATCAGCTAATGAAGCGTTTGTTGGCCTTGAAATTGCGCTGAAGTGGATGGAGCGCCAGCCCGAATGCACCCACATGGCAACTTCACCAAGCGGACGCGCGACTTAGCTACCCAAAAATGAATGAAGACAGTCAAACAGCTTACTTTGAACGAGATGTTCAGTAAGCAATGACTTTCAGCACTTGCAAGTACTGTACAGTACGCTATATAACATGTACGCAAGTGTTGCCTTTTCATTTTAATTAATTAAAAGCTTTTTTTCTTCAAAAATAATTTTTCTTCCATTTGCAACATTCAGTAAGCACATATAATAATTCATTAAAGTGTACGTAGACCCTTTCTTTATGGAAAATCCAATTATCCGAATGGGATCCGGTCACAATGAATTCGTATAATTGGAGTTCTACTGTATCTGTATAAATACTACTGTATTCAGTTATACCATTCAGGACATCATTGTTTCGGTGCTTTTTAAACATTCGTGTGTGTTCCTTTATTTCTCCAATCAATATATTTCACATACTTTTGGGCTCCCTCCTTTCGTTTAAATTATTTTTTGCAATGCTCCCAACCATTTTTTGAATGGTATGTGTATTCATATATTTACATAATTTATTTAATGTATTGAATTTTTGCAAGAGTTACTAGAACAAATAATAAACAAAATAATGTTTCAATTTCTTTGTAATAAATATTGCAAGTAAACATGGATATATGATAGTAATAAAAATAATAACTCAATTCGGTACTCTTTGTATCAAACTAATGATAAAAACATCATATGAATTAATAATCGATGGGTAAACTTTATGAAACATTGAGAGTTTATCACTATCAAGATTAAGACTTGTTATCAGAAGGTATAAATCCCATGTTCAGCAATCTATAGGCTATTACATTTTTTATCAAAGGTTAACAAATGGCATTACAATGTTACTTCACTAAATATGATGTTAAGAATCGCATTGTATGAAGAGAGAAATGCCAAATATACTACTGATCTGTACGTTATATGATAAAATTTATCCCATAAACTATCTCTAATCTTACTGCTATTATATTTACGGCAATAAATATGCAACAGTGCAGAGTCATTAGGACCTTTTTTGAAGCAAGAAACTTGAAAAATGTACATTGCCCTCATCGGAACTCGTACCTTTCGAATACGCGGGAGTATGCTTCCAGTTACACTACGATGGCATGCGGAAAGGAAAGAGAAAATACCTTATATACTTCCCCTTTTAAAGGATGACTAGGGATTAGGGGACCCAATCTCCAAATCCTGGTGATGACGAATTATCGTCCATTACCTTTTAGTCTGGGAGCCACTTTTAGTGTCAGTAGGACCAGGGACGCCTCGAATACCCGTCCAATATGCTTCCGATTATACCACGAAGCCATGCGGAAAGGAGGAAGAAAATATCTTATAACAGTACCGCTGACCTTTAACTTAAGCCTAAGATACCTAACATCCCCCAGAAGCTTAACACCTTCTTGAATAATTCTAATGTTCTCAAATGAGTGTACAGTTCTGCTAAGAGATACAGTTTTTAATCCTAGAATCGAATACTCTATTTATGACAGAATAAAAGCTTAGATTTCAATAAAAAGATCAGACAGAGACCAATACTCAGTAGAGACGCATTAAGAATTTTATTTCGGAACAGAAAACTTGAAAAACTAGCAATGCCCTCGCTGGGATTCAAATTGCGGCCGGAGCGTTGTAAGCCGGGCGTGCTTCCAATTACTAAAGGAAGGCATGCAGTATGGCGAGGGAAAAATTAATTACAACTCTAATGGTGAGGTTAGGAAAATTAAATTTAATTCGTTTATTTTATTAAAGAAACTCACTCAAAGATTAGTTGCTTAGGTTAAGGGATCTTTTATTACAAAACTTTCAGAGGGAAGCTTCTTTGTTTTTACGATAAATATATAGAAAACCACGAAAGCCTCGTACCAGTAGGCTGCTCTGTTCTGGAAAATCGATGTCATAACTAATTTCTAGTGAAACTGACTAAAAGACATAGATTTCAAGCAAGGAAAAATGGCTAAAAACCAACGCAAATGCCAGAAGTTTCTGCTGCGAAACAGAAACTTCAAAGTGATATATTTATTTCATTCATTGTGAATTCAAGATTTTTCATCTGTTGTAAATAAATGCTATTACAATTAATTTATCCAACCGACTTATGGAAATGACAGCTTAACTGCTCAACCTTCATCGTATCAAATAGCGATTTGGGTGATGTGACAAGTGCAGCTAGATTCTACAAGTAGATCATGTAGGAATACTCTTAATGTAAATAAGACCCAACAGAAAACTTCAGATGTTTATCGCATCGCAGCTACAGTTTATTGTTGTATAAATAAGCTTTGGAGTCTTAATACTCAAGATACATACTCCTAGAAAGCATTTTTTTTTTTTTAATTAATGCCTCTGCTGGATCAAGCAGACTGACAGTGAAAAACTTTTATTCGTGTACTATTCTTCTATTTACAAAAATAACAGAGCCTTTAAATAAACAATATTAGATAAAAGTTTTCTATTTTTCAATAAATAATTCAACTTTCATTTAATTTTAAAAACGAATTCACCAAATGAGCAGTAGCGTGGTGGAGATTCATTTAGATTAAAACCCTACAGCAGTTTCTAAATGCTCTTATTCCGCGCTCAGGGCAATAAATTGCTTGTGAGAGGAAACATTAGCAATGTCACATCCACAGCCTGATCGATAAAGAAACGAATCATATAGCAACAAAAGTAGATATCTTAACCAGAGAAAAGAGAAATCAGATATACAGGATTCCCTGCATTACTTTGGTAACTGTGACATCGAGAAAAATAAAGCTTGAAGATATTTGAAATACAATATAGAATTAAATTGTTTAAAATATCACATTTTTCACTGATAATAAATCCCTCCCTTTTAGCATACGTATATACAAACGATTTAGCACTTAAAATCAAAGAACGGCTTTCTAAGATATATACAAGAAAACTCCTTTTATGTAAAACTAAAATAGACTACTTTAGAACATAAACTATTAAATAAATGCTAACTATTTTATTGTCCTGCATGGGCAATAACTA